CCTCTAGGGGCGCTGTGGGTCGGAATGGACTCCAGGCAGTGGGTGTGGTTTGGGCTTTCCTTCCCTGAAGACTGACAGCCCTGGAAACTCTGGGGGCAGTTCTGTCCCACAGGGTCCAGGTGAATTGTAACAAACTCCACGGCAGTGGCCTGGGTTGGGGTTTTTGGTTGTTGCTGCTCCATGTGTACAGCTGTGTGTCTGGCACTGACACCAGAGGCAACTTCCTCACACCTACAATCTGACTGGGAAATTCAGAGAATGCACATGGGCTAGAACAGAAAGGACACATGGTCTTCCTGTAAGTCTACTGCTGTTAAGTCAGTGATCTCCCTGACTAGGAGCCATGAGGGCAGAGTGTTACTACGACACAGAGGCTCCACCGCTGCAGGGTCCTCATCACGTGGCATCACCTGCTCCTGAGAGCAGGCAGTACTCCTCCCTTCTTCCCAGTCTCTGCACATCTGACCTCTTTTCAAGGTGAAGTGCGACGTTTGCTATATTGTTTCCCAAATGTCTGCTCAGGAACACAGTGTCCACCCAGCCAGACCATCTCCAAGATGCTACAAGGAAAACCAAGCTTGGAGGATGGAACTGAGTTCTCCAGGCTCAGACACTTGCTCCCAGGGCTGGGAACGCCAGAACAGGAACGGGCTGAGTCCAAGACCATGATTCCCAGGGAGCCTCTTCCCCTGAAATAGCCACCCACTCTGCTGGTACACCCTCTCCTCACTCAGTGACTATTCCTTGTCACACATCTCACAGTTACGACCACAGTAAAATATCCACCATTTCACTATTTTGCACATTAATGATGTATGTCTCGCGGTGACAGATACCGAGATGCAAGCTCACAGTAATGATGAGGCTGAGGCCAGGAGTCACCCTGACTGGACATGATTCTCAGTGGTTTGGCAGTTATGTAATAAACCCAATTTGGCAGGTACATAGTGATGCAGTCATCCTCCATTTTCATGTAACACCAATTGTCACATAACAATCTGGTCTTGGGAACCTAACCATGTCAAGAAGTAAGGAGACTTCTGTATGAGTCATGGTTACAAATTTACACCCATTTGAATGATCTGTCCAAAACCTATCTTTCCACTGAAGTCTGTACTTTCAGAGTGCACTTTGGTAGAACAGAGATTTTTCAAAAACGCATTTCAAAAAAATATCTCAGAAACACGTGTGTCGGGGTGAAACATGTATGGCGTGAGATGTGTGGGGGGTGCCCCATGATCTCAACATTAGTAACCCAAGACTGGACACTTGTGGGGTTCGGTGAAAAAGCAAAACTCACCATAAAATGAAAACACTTAGCAGTGTACTGACCACATCTAAAGTTTGCACCTTCTGCAAAGATCGTCCCCACTTAATGCTGCCACCAAGCCCCACTGCAACCTCAGCAACATCGTACCACTGTCAGCACATGAGTGACAGCGGAATACAACACACATGAAATTTTACATTCTGCCAGACTCAAGAGGTCTGAGAAACACTGTTTTGTGGCCCCACCTGTAAGTCATCATGACTTCCTGCTGCCCGAGCCCAGTGGCACACCCACCACTCTAATCACAGGTGTGTGGGCAGACAGCAACCAGGGTACCCCGTCACTCCAGGGGTGCAAGGCACAGGTTTGACTTTTTAGTTAAGAACAATCTAGGGGGAAAAAATGAAGCAAAAAGTTCTTTAAAACAAAAACCAAACCATCCCAATTTCAGATCTCCAGTTCCAACCTCACATCACATTATTCTAAGAGCTGAATGGGTGGTGTGCCGATCCCCACATGCACAGGGAAAGCCTGGGGTCATCCAAGCGCTTCCCGCCACCCTGAACCTGGATTACACAGCTGTGAGGGGATGGAAACACGCAACTCCAGAAAATACTCAAAATGGAGAGAAACTCCACCATCAGATTTCGTTTTTATATTAGTGACGTGGGTAATACTGTCATAACCTGGAAAGGTAACACATAACATGCCAGCCTCACAAACTGCCACACAAAAGTGTTCAGTCACACTCAAAAATTCCACACATGGGAAAAATTTTAATCCAACTTCAAATGCACAAGAAAGCTCGTTTTTTGAAATCAAGAAAAATAAATACAGCTATGTTCAAAACCAATTTCCGACAGGGACTTGCGGTAAGATGGTACAATAGGCAGACAAACGACACAGGCCTTCCTCCACAAAGAAAAGAGAAACCAGTCCACAGGGACACGGAGGATAATGCTGGAGCCCTCAGCTTTGAGAGGTACTGTACAGAAGTGGATTAGGCACCAACTAGTGGACAAACCTGAATGAAAACAGTGAGTACAGAGACGGTCGGAGCTGTGGACTGTCAGCTACTCTGACAGAACCAACAGCCCAAATAGTTTAAAGTGGTGTTGGGACTGAGAATTGACCTAAAGATCAGCCCTGGTCATCAAGGGCTGCAGGGTAACTGCACTGGTGGTCTATGACTAGGAAGGGAAACAGCAAGGAGGGAGACATCCTGAGTTGTGGACTTCCAGCAGTTCCAAGGGCACAGCCATACTGATTGTTTACATACAGCAGACATTTTGGATATTTAAAGTGACCAAGGGTACAGCCATTTTGTTTACAAGCGGTGGCCATTTTGGATTCTAAAGTGACAGCATTGTCATTCACATTCCAGGGACCTAAGAACAGGCTCTGTTTGCCAAGGATGGCAGGGACAGGGACGTACAGAAGGCTGACAACAGGAAAGGAAGACAGGAGGTGAGTGTATGAGTGCTGTCAACTAGCAAATAGAGAAGCACAGCACAGTACCCTGCTTATGTAGATAACATACAAACCAAACAAAGAAAACTAAAATCATGGGCAAGTCACTCGAACATATAATCACCAATTAAATACAAACACAAAAATGTCACAATGCCTCAGAGACAACAGAGCATCACAGTGCATACAAAGAAGCAAGATAAACTAGGAGAAACAAGGGACCAGGTTACAGACCCAAAACACATCCCTGAGGAAGACACAGCATTGGAACTCCCTGACAAGGAATTCAAAAGAATTATATCTAGGTATCTTCAACGAACTGAGAGACAGATCAAGGAAAACACAGAGAAAACCCTAGAACAATGTCAAAAGACAGCATCAGAAAAAAACGACAAAATAAATGAAAAATCAGAAATGATACAAAATCTACAGACAGAAAGCCAGAAGATTAATACTAAATTTTCAGAAATAGATAACTCATTGAACGGGCAAAGGAATAGAACTGAATCAATGGAAGACAGAGTTAGTGAGATTGGAGGCAAATACCTCAATACTTCTTTGGAAAGGGATCAGAAAAAAGACCAAAACAAAATGAAGAAAGCCTCAGGGTCACGTGGGATACCATCAAAAGGAATAACCTACGTGTCATAGCAATTCCAGAACAGGAAGAGACAAATAAAACCACAGAAAAAATTGTCGAAGATTTGTTGAAAGAGAATTTTCCTGGTATAATGAAAAATGAAAATATATCCTTTCAAGAAGTCCAACAAACCCCAAACAGGATAGACCCCAAAAGAAAATCACCAAGACATATTACCATCAAACTCACCAAAACCAAAGACAAAGAAAAAATCCTAAAACCAGCATGGGAAAAATGAAAAGTTACCTACAAGGGGCAACCAATAAGACTAAGATCACATTACTTGGCAGAAACTATGCAGGCAAGAAGACAATGGGATGGTATACATAAAACCCTGAAAGAGAAAATTTCCAACCAAGAATTATATACCTGGCAAAACTGTCCCTCAAATGTGATGGTGAAATTAGGACATTTCTAGATAAGCAGAAATTAAGGGAATTTGTTAAAACCAGACCAGTCTTACAAGAGATGCTAAAGGGAATCCTTTGACAGAGAACCAACAATAGCAAATAAGAACCGACCATTAACACGCATGATGACATAACCCAGAAACCAACCCAGTATAGAAGTACCCAAAGTAAATAAGCCTACAAGATTGTAAACAAGGAACCAGAGACATCAACTGACAAATGAAGACAACTACAAACCAAACAGAAGGAAAAAACTGTGTCGTCACAGAACTTCTAGATGGTAGGGAAGTCAAGACAACTATAAGATAGAACAGACTGCTCTAAACATGGGAAGAAATTATAAATCACAGGGTAATATCAAAGAAAAATGATAAACCTTCACAACAAAATAAAAAAGAGGACCAGCACAAATATTTAACAAATACTAAAACAACAGCAACAAAGGAAGTGATAACACGATTCATAAACAAAATGAGCTCAACACAGAAAATTATATGGAACAAAGAAATCAACACCATGAAACAGCACATAACAAAATGACAGCAACAAATTCATTCTTGCCAATAATTACATATCTGGCAAGGGACTTATCTCTAATATTTATAGAAAACTCCAACCCCTCAACACCAAAGAAATTAACAATCCAGTTGAAAAATGGGCAGAAGACAGGAATAGACACTTCACCAAGGAGGCTATTCAGGCAGCTAGCAAACACATGAAGAGATGCTCACAATCACTGGCCATCAGAGAGATGCAAATCAAAACAGCAATGAGATACCATCGCACCCCAGCACTAATGGCAAAGTTCAAAGAGACAGAAAATAACAAACGCCGGCAAGGATGTGGAGAGACTGGGACTCTCATACATTGCTAGTGGGACTGTCAAATGATACAACCACTGTGGAAAACAGTATGGCAATTCCTTAAAAAGTTGAAATTAGAAATACTGTTTGACCTAGCAATCCCATTATTAGGTATATACCTAAAGAAGTGAGAGCCAGGACAGGAACAGATATATGCACCCCCATGTTCATCGAAGCACTATTTACAACAGCAAAAAGATGGAAACAACCCACATGACTCATTATCAACAGAAGAATGGATAACCAAACTGTGGTACATACACACAATGGAATACTATACAACCCTAAATAATAAAATAGAATCTGCAAAACACCATATAACATGGGTGAACTTGGAGGACATTATGCTGATGAAATAAGTCAACCCCAGAAGGACAAACAGTGCATTAGTTCATTATTGCAAAAAGTCAAAGACATATGGAAAGAAACTTTCTTTGTTGCTTATTAGGGGTGGGAGGGGAGGGGAGGGGAGGGAACAATGCCCCCCCCCCCAAAATGCATTGACCCATGTCACTTTACTTTTCTGTATTTCACTGTACATAAATTATATTCCAATAAAATGCATTTTAAAAAAAAATTTGCAATCAAATGAAGGGCCCCCCCAAAGTGGACTCGTGTGGCTTATGAGTCTTTATCTGCAGCATCAAAATGGAGTATGTGTTTTCTTTTCACAGGTGACTCAGCACTTCAGAAGCACCCACAAAAATTGTGTCTATTTCTCCATTTCTCATCAGTCCAACTTAGATTGCTATTTGGATAACTATATAGGATTTTTCAGACATTTCAAGTGTTAAAACAAAGATAAAGCACTAAACACATCCTAAAGATGCCCAAAAGCAAACAGGGAAATGCAGTGTTTCGGTCTGCAGAAATACTACCCAAGAGCAGTGACTCACACACACAGGCTGCCCGGGTTACACGCATCCTGCTGTGATCTCTACAGAGTCACAGAGATCTCTCCACAAGCTCACAGCACACTACATCACCAGTGGAGATGACACTCGGACCTGGGCGAGTCTTACTGTCTTGTCTTTGAAGAAATGAGCAGCATTTCTACAACAGGTGCCAGGAGCGCACAGGACCACTGCTCAGATCTACAAATGCTTTGCCAACCTTTAATCAATCACTCAAACCTCCAACACAGAGAAAGAGAAGGGCGCCTCATGTAGCAGTGGATGACCCCAGCGGGCCCCAGACAGCTGACACGCTGGCAGCACACCCTGCTCGGATACACTAACCTCCACTGACGTGCACCTCATACAGTGAGTACTTGGGAGAAGACAGCATCCGCATATCAGGCCGGAACTTCTCCGCCAGCGTCTCGATCACGTCTTGCGTTGTGGCAGTGCTAGAGACGCGGATGCATTTCGTCGCAAAGTTTCCAGCAGCTTTGTCTTGAAAATAAAACCTCATGACTCCATGGAACTCCAAATCCTAAAAGAAAACAAAATGATTAATGTTGGACACAACAATCTGGGGGTCCTGGCTTTTACAAGGACGAGAAATGAAGGAGCTATTCATATCCACCACGTTTCTAAGTGCTTCATCACTGTAAAGGCCAAGGCAGACACTGACAGACAGGTGACTCTGGACAGGTATTTGCCATATCTCCTTGACTGTCTTACGCCCCGTGTAAAATCAAGGCTGGCGAGCAGCCACTGTCCCTGGGAGCCGACAGTTCCTGGGTCCTCACGTGGGCTGGATGCACCTGCACGGCATGGTCTTACTACATCTTTGTAACAACCCAGCTAAGTAAACACACCAAAACCAAAAAACCAAACTCACGGCCAATGAGTCAATTCTGACTCATAGCGACCTCCCTGGGTTTCCAAGGCTGTGAATCTTTACCGAAGTAGACGGCCCCATCTTCCTTCCATGGAGCAACTGATGGGTTTGACCCATGACCTTCTGCTCACCAGCCAAACGCCTTGTCTTCTACACTTACTTCTACAGTAAGATTTAGTCCCTAAAACTCAAAAAGGTTAAGTCCGACCCGGCTACCCTGGACTCCAGAGGCCAGGCCTAGGTCCTGTATCAGCTCCGAGGACAAAGCTGAAAGAACAGCTTCTGTCTTAAAAGCAAGTGGGAACTGTTAGCCTCAGCCCTACCATAAGCCAGTGAAGAGCAGAAACACCGTCTGCAGGGCTGTGACAAACCTGCAATGTGAGCTGCTTGTACGCAATCAAACAGGGCAGTTTCCGTTTTCTCCAAAGCTGCCTCAAGAACAACACACTCCCCTCAGAGATGAGAACCACACACACACAAACACCAAGTCCCCCCACAAGCCAGGCCAATGCCCAGGAACGTCCAGGATTCCCACACACAGGTGAGCTAGCCTGGCTCCCACCCCATTCCGCAGAGCACCAGGAAGTGCCCACCAAGGCTGGCTCACCCTCACTGCCTTCAACTGGTTCTGCCTTCAAAGTTTCTCCAGAATCCAGCCAGAAGCTGTGGAAACGAGCCCACACACGCAGGCCTCTGCAGTCAACTGCACAGTGGCACCCTCTTCTCGCAAATCCAGGTCCACAGCCTTGCTCCCCAAGCCTGTCACACTGCAGCCTCTCTCTACCCTTCCTGACCCTGCGGCCTGTCCTGCACCCACAATTACAGACGTGGTGGTGCTGCTGCCGTCAGCTGACACTGATCATGGCGACCCCAGGTACACAGAGCAGAACTCCCCCCCCAAAGGGTGTGCAAGGCCGTGACCTTCTGGAAGCAGGCCTGTCTTCCCAGGCGTCTCCGGGTGGGCCACCCTGCAGCTAGTAGTCAGGCACTACCCTTTCTCCACCTAGGGAGTCACCTTGCACTAAGAAGTGTTTATCTGAAGAAGACAGGGAACATGGGGTATTCGGAGGGCATTAACAATCACACAGGGTCCCCGGATGAACCGCAGTTACGGCCCTCGGCTGCTAACCACAAGGCGGTGCAGCAGAAGGAAGGAATGGTGCTCCACCGAGAAACCAGGAGCCCCTGAGAAGCCTGAGGGGCACAGCCCCATCCCGACAAAGAGGGGTCACCAGAACGCAGAATCAACTCATCGGCAACTGTTTTAGTTTTTGTTTTTAATGTCGAAATGACAGAAAAATTAAACCAAAAATGAAACAACCAGCCCCACTGCTAGGCTCAGCAGCTCTAGCGTGCCCCGACTTCAGTCCTACCCTGCAAAATGCCCTTCTCTCTTCCCACTGCCCCAGTGGCAACAAAGGGACCCATGAGCACATGTGTTAGGAAAAGGCCATTTCCTGGTGGGTGCTGGTGTGGAGCAGAACAGTGGTACAGGGTGAGACCTGAGCCTGAGTCAGCCACATGGGGGTTCTCTCTGCCACAGGGATCCTGCTAGGGTCTCTCAGCAATGGTACAAAAGGCCTTTCTCCAGCCCGGGTCAAGGCAGACGACGCTGAGCCAACAGTCTTTAAACTGGCTCCATCTCTGTGATGCTGGCAGCCCTAGTGCCCCACCACGGACAGCAATGCCACTCCACTGTAACCCACGCCTAAGTCAGTATCAGAAACCCCTAACCATCACTATGGACTTCACTCAGGCCAGGAGCTATGCACTGGTTTCACTGAGCTGTCCCGGTCAGCGCCTCCCCA